CACGATACGCGAAGCAGCAACACGCTGCTATATCTTTGAAATTAGAAACATTGGTCGTGCGAAAGACGTACAATATGCAAGAAGTTCTTAGATATCGTCTTATTACGTTTCCTGATAGTACAATTTATTGGCGCAATGTTAGTCCAATGCATGCCAATGTTCAATCAATATATCGCCAATGAATTATGCTACTCGGGTTCTAATTAACTAGACTATAGTCTGAAAAAAATGATCTTATACCATCAATCCGTCAGGATTAACTAAGCTAGCGTTGGTCGTAAAATCGTTGATAATTGTAGCATACTAGGTACACATCTCGCGCTGATACGCCATATTGATGGGACGCGTTTAGGTAGTTGAACGACAAAACATCAAGTGGGAAAGGCTTGGAAGTGAACGTAATCCTACAGCAATCTCAACGAAGCGTATGTCTCACTCTATATCGTACAGTTTTCTTGTACGTAAGAAGTGTCACGTATGCTTCGATCTACTTCGACAACATTCCACGCTACCATTCGATTCTACTCGTGGATGTGCGCCATTTGAAACATCAATGATAAAATGCAGCTTTTTTATTTTTCTAAGAATTGTACTATAGATGGACACCATAAAAATGAATAATCCTGGCGAAACACTCAATAATTCTAAATATTTTGGGTAATCATCATTAAATGGTGTGCTGAAGATTGTCAAATTAGATGCGAAGCAAAGCGTCCCAAGACTTAGACAGAAATGCTTTATATATTACAATATTATATATAATAATATATATATATGTGTGTGTGTGTGTGTGTGTGTGTGTGTGTGTGTGTGTATATACAATTAATAAAAATTCTTTCGTGACGTAATAGCGTCACGCTTTCACAATTTACAATTATTATCAATAGAAACTTCATATTCAGTTTTATGGCCATTTATATTATAATAATACGTGAAATTATATTCTGACTTCATCCTTATAATACGACGTGTTAATCAAGACTAAACTCTTCACAAAATAGGGAAGTTGCATGTAGATGCATTATTTTATAAGTTCGTGAACTATTCGCCATGTTACTCTGTACTATTATTAATTATTCATCGGCGTTTAAGAGAGATACTATAACAAAGTTCTTTTACGTAAAATAAAATTGGTTAATGTCCAAATATATTTTATTATCATTTTCATATTTTTTTTTTATCAAAATAATACAAGTAATGGTAATTTAAACATACGTCAGGAAATTATGGCACTGCGGTATAATTACAGTGACGTTACTTAAATTTTTGTATATTTTTTTTTCCTTTCGAACCTTGCATTCACATTAAACAATACATCATTTCATTCTGCATTTTAGCTAAATCGATGTGAACACATTCCATTCAACGTTTAAATGGATAGCCGTTTTGTAGGAAATGTTTTTAGCAACGAAATCATATTTTTTTAGACGTCAAACTTTTGACAATTATATCTCGAGGAAAATAATGTTGTGGATTAATCAAGAGATACCAGATCAATCCAATGATTATAGAATGTTACAAATGAAATCTCTCATGTATTATTTTTATCCTTAAATTAAGTTATATTTTGCATCCTGATAATTTTTACGTCTTTTACTATTTAATAATTTGAGATCAAAAGCAAACGAGAAATTGTCTTTTTCTCCTAGCTAATTCTATAGCCTCGATATTATAAGCTCAATTATTTTTTTTTTTTTATAGAATGTTACAATAAATATAAAATATTATATTAAAGTGTATATAATCCTTGTATTATCTTAAGACGCTATGACCATTCACCTGAGAATTAAAAAAATTGTATATCCGATTATTCAAAATTTTATTTATGTTACGTGAAGACTATAGTAAAATTCAATAATGAATTAGTATGGATTACGGAGTTTAAGAACAAATAGGTAACGTCGTTTGAAAGTAAAATACCTACGTGTTTCGAAAAGATTTGTGATCGTTATTGTTAGCATCGTTACAGTTTAGCTCAAACGAGTTGAAATGATGCGTCAAATAGGATGCAAATAAAATGAACATTACATCAATTATTGATTAATATAAGATGGCTAATTACGCGTTCACTTAGTTTATTTTCGTTAAGTTTGTCTTGTTTACTCGCCTTATCTCATAAAAATCTTGTACGATCTACGCGATCGCATTACTTTTTTTTTGTTACTACCTATATTACAGATTTAATTGGCCGTAATTAAAGGTAATGAACGGGAGTAAGTTCTAGCAGTTCTTATCTTCTTTTTTTTTTTCGTAGAGTAAGATATTCATAAGTGAAATGGCATAACTGATAAACGGTCGACAAGTACGGCTGTTTTATCATAATTGTGTTTGCTCTCATAGAAAAAAATGTTTTTTTCTAATTTAACGTTAGGTTTCAAATAATACTCTAACGTGTATATGTACATTATTTAGAAATTATGAAACTACGGATAAAATCACGCACTGCAGCCTTTCATTAATCTGAAATAGTCATATGTATAGCATTATAAATTACATTTGGTCATGATAAACAGTGTCTTGAATTATCGATATATAATTCAAAAGTATTTAGAAAATTCTGATTGTGTAGCGTAATGGAAACGTGCCTCATGAACATACGATTTAAATAACAAGATATTTCCACGAGAAAACTGCCATACTAGTCGGTGTTTTTCTTGTATAGACCATTTGATTGGATAAAGAAACGTCTTCTACGTATGGCTACTTGCACATGTGTAATCCAATATACGTCTTAAAAATATCCGAGTAGATTCTACTTCTCGATAAAAGGCAAGAGAATTGTTCCGCTCGTGTTCATCCTATAATATGATAACGCATCTACCGGGAATACTTGTTTCGATGGATTGACTCTTCGTAGATAAACTGTAAACGATCAAATTCGGGGGAGCGAATTCGCGTAAAATTTTTTTTCGTATGCGCACACGTGTTTCTCTTTCCGTAATCGTGTCGCCGGCCGAGCGCCCATTTGTGTTTTCCAGGAAACCTACGGCAATCTACTGAACTCTACAAATCTATATGGCCGTGGCCATCTCGACAATCTCGATC